GGTTTAGAGTTTACGGCTTAGAGCTTTAGGGTTTAGGGGTTTAGGGTTGAGGGTTTAGGGTTTAGAGTTTACGGCTTAGAGCTTTAGGGTTTAGGGGTTTAGGGTTGAGGGTTTAGGGTTTAGAGTTTACGGCTTAGAGCTTTAGGGTTTAGGGGTTTAGGGTTTAGAGTTTAGGGCCTAGGGCTCTTGTTCGAGCAATACGGGCGCCCTAAAACTTCGAGCACGTGTTTTTCAAGTCTTCATATGCGGCTTTTAAAAGGGTGCATAGGATGGTATGGGGCCTATCATAGGGCCCTTATTGATCAGAATAGGATTTGGAGGTATATAATACTCACTATAGCTATCCAGGGACTATAAACGGGATCCTGACACTTGCTATTCAGATCTCGGTAATGATATAAATCCTGCAGGACCTTAAGGACCCTAAACTATGGGAATTATGGTATATTCCTTAGGATGGGTAATGTAGGATTTATATCATCAACCGTAGGCACCCTTCCACGGAGCAATGCCAGCAAGAGGTTTAGGGGCTGTCGGATCTTGGGGTGTCGGAAGCCTCAAAAGGGCAAGATAAAGGTACTTGGGGGATCATGGGATTTAGTAAGTAAGGTTATAAGTACCTTAATCGGGGTTATACATAAGAATAGTTACCCTAATTATAACCCTAGTTACTAAGTCCCATGATCCTGTAAGTAGGTAGGATTCAGGATCCGTTAAATAAGGACAAGTATTATTTGGGAGTAACCCCACCTACCTTCATCCAACCTTCGGAGCTTTTCGAGGGTGTAGGGGTAATTGCAGGTCACTGGGAGCTGGCAGCAGGGATTGGATGTCGCTGAGATGTACCTGGCAGAGGCCAGGGGAACAGAATCCCGAGAAAGGGAACGGATAGTTGTCTAAGGAATGCCCCTGTTGGGTCTTTGGTTCAGTATGGCAAGCAGCAGCTTGCATTGAAACATGCATCCTGAAGTACGCCCGAATTGAGAGAACGATTTGGATTAAGACCATTTTGATGGTGACTGCTTGGTGTTGTGCTTCTTCTCGCTGCGATCAAGACCGAAGCCAGAAGCAACTTCGATGACACTACCAATGCAGTTACGATCGGTAGCACCATCGGAAATGATACCCTCCTCATGAAAAGAAATGAACAGCAGAAGGAGAAACAATGGCTCCGTAATACAGGTTGTGCTTCTTAGGTGTTCGTCTACAGCTGTTCTTTATGTCTATCCTGCTGCGGGCAGGCAAGCTCTCGTGGTTGGAGGCCATGCCGCGAGATGCGCTTGGGCTCGGGAGTATTGAGTAGATCCTGCGGTTCATTCTCTGTACACAGGTGGATGGGAAGCCCTCAAGAACCCTAAGTCCTAAACCCCTAAACCCTGCACCCTAAAACCCTTAACCCCTAAACCCCTAAACCCTTAAACCTAAACCCTAAACCCTAAAACCCTAAACCCCTAAACCCCCAAACCCTATAAACCTTGAACCAGCAGGGCACAGAGCAGGTCCTTCGTTTGGTAGCACTTTTTTTACAGAGCATCCGAGACAGGCTCGATCCGAGCTGCAGCACGAATGCCATGATGGCCTGCCGCGGCCCTAGGGACCAACGGGCGGGCGGGGGGGAGGTGGGGGGCAGCCACGACTTCTAGACAACAAAGCACGGCCTACTTTTCGAATCAAACCCGAAGGCGCAGCCGGCAAAATAGAGACCAAGGCAGTCGTAAACGACCAATAGCTCGAATTACGATAGTTCATCAGCTTGCTGGCTACGTCCTCTGATCCTCCAAACTCGACAGTCCCAGACCCGCAGAACTCAAAGCCCAAAGAAGCCCTAATACTAAAGACAATAACCCTGAACCCCCCTGCGAAACTCCTACAATACGTGATCCCCCGAACCCTCGCACAAAATCCCTAGAAGATCCGTATCAAACCCTAAACCCTAAACCGTGAGCCCGGCTTATGGTTTGGTTCTCCTCGCCAGGTGCTGTGGCCTCCGAGTGGCCCATGGCCCTTGCTGTTTTCGATGACTTCGGAAGGTGGGCTCTTTAGCCTTTTCGGGTTTAGGGCATCAGGGTTTAGGTTATAGGAACCCCCGAAGATCAGTCTTTGTTGGCCAAGGAGGTTTGAGGTTAGTCTCATGAACATCATAAAGGCGGTATGGTAAGGGAAAGATGGTAGGGTCTGACGTAGCACCAACTCGGGTCATGTTGCAGGGAAGGCATGGACGGCATTTGCAGTTGGGTTTAGATCTATTTATGGGGCCTCAACCCCAAACCAGTGGCTTGCACCTTTAGGGTTTGGGGTTTAGCAGTTGAGGACATTGATGAAGATGCACGTGGCACGATGTGTGGTTTGGGCCTGGGGTTGAAGCCTCAGACTTGTACATTGGAGGCAGAATGCTGGGCAATCCTTCTGGCTGGCCAGATGTTCCAGACGAATCCCTAACTCCCGAAAGCCCAACTCCAAAGCGCCAAAAGTCTTGCAGCCCAACTTCCGCTAACATCCTAAGTTCAGAAACCCGAATGCATAACACCATTTAAAACCTAAATCTTTAGAACCCTCAAGCTATCATGTCCCCAGCACCCATCCTCTGTGCTCAAGTCAAGTCTCAACACCCTCCGTCTCGCACCCTCCCCAACTTGGTCTTCAACACTCCTTACATAGTCCCGAGTCCCGACAGAATTGTGGTGTAATGTTCCCCAAGCTCTTTTCTACTTGTTGGGAACTTGTTGGTGCCCCTGTAGTACAAGGTGGCGCCTTGAAAAGGACATCGTCGCCGTCACCTGCGCAGCTCGCTTGGTGTTTTTTCATGCACGGTTTTGGGGTCGTACTAGTTCTTTGCGCATACGTCTGCTCCGGTCCAATGCCTCTTCCAAACCTGGCCCTCGGCCTAACAGCTCTCTGGCAGGTCGAAGAGAGGCGATGACGAAAGTAATAGCAATACACATAGGAAGAAGAAGAAGTATAATAGAAAAAGTATTACGCAGAATGGTACTGATGATAGTAAGAACAATAATAGTCATAACAAACATCGTGCGTGACACTATCACCAGTTATAAGAATAATAGTAGTACCACAAGTAATTAGTAATAACAATAACAAGAAGAAGAAAACGTGGCTCAGGTTTTGCATGCCTTCCAGCGGGGTCAGCTGTGGGAGGAGGCCGCTGACTTTTGCTTTTGGTTGAGTGCGACGGGCTCGGTAGGAATCTCTGAACTTCTGGGAATATTAAAGTCATGATACTTATGATTATTGCTGTAGTAAGAATGTCAAGAAGCAGCAGGATATTGAATCTACTGTTTATAATCATAGCAAAAATCGGTGCTGCTTTGTTGCACCTGGTGGTATTGGACGTTTCTCGGGGTTGTTATAATGCTGTGTTATAGTTGTTTTATAGCCGGTGTGCGTTGCGGGAGTTTGCCGAGTTTGGTGCATGCAGGTTCTCATGTGGGTGTTTATCACGGAATTTAGGGGTTCTTCCGGTGGCTTTCGGAGGTTCTTACAGGTTTCTTGAGGCATCCTGAAGGGTTCCGATGGGATTCTTAAGACATCTTGCAGGGTTTTATGTGGGTTCTGAAGGGTTGCTGTAGTGTCTTGGGACTCAGGGCTGGAAGGATTTCAGGGCTTCTGGTGTTCGAAGAGTTTGGAGATCTGTAGTGGGACCCAGAGCTTGGTTCTGGGGTTTAAGGGTTTAGGGCTTAGGGTTTTGGGGTTTAGGGTTTAGGGGTTTTGGGGTTTAGGGTTTAGGGGTTTTGAGTTTAGAGCTTTGGGGTTTAAGGGTTTAGGGTTTTGGTGGGTTTCGGGGTTTTGGTTTAGGATGCAGCCCATGTGCTCACTGCCAGGGTGGGGCTCGGAGGTCTCGCCACGAGGGATTCAAGTGGTTTAGGTATAGGGTTTAGAGTTTAGGGTTTTAGGGTTCCGGGTTGCATGTTAAGAGCTATGGATTCAATTGGTTGAGGCTTCGATTGTGACAAGTCCAAGCACAGACCCAGATCGCACTGAAGCCTTGCGATTCGCTGCCAAAACGCCCCTTGAATTTGCCCTGGTCATTCTGAAACAATCAGAGTACTTTGTAAGTAGGGTTTGACGTACTTACATCGGGGTTATAAGTCATGATAGCAGTAAATACGGTGCTAATAACCCTGCCTGTTACGTCCCCTGATCTTCGAAGTGGTGGCTGTCGCCCGAAGTGGAACATTCAAGCAGTGCAACATCCAAGATGGGTCGTGGATCTCTCTCCCACTGGCTGCTACTGGGGACTTTCTGAAGCGTTCGTTGCTGCTTCTGGTACCAGTCAACCGGTGCTACTTACTTACTTAAGTACTGGAAAGGCACGCGCTCACAGGTTCACGCGCACTCGTCCAGAGGGATCAAGGCCAGAAAGCAAGCTGAACGGCCCGATGAGAGCTCCGGATCCAGGAGGAATTTCACTAAGAGATTCAGATGTGTTGTGGTAAGAGTTGCAAAAGCTTACAATTACTTTCAAGGGTTTCAGAAGCACGAGGCTTTAAGTTCAAATTCTGGCCCAGCCCCGAACCCCCAAAACCACAAAACCTCCTCAACCCCCATCAAACCTCCGGCAAAGCCCTCAACCCAAGCAGCCCTTCACGAAGGCTGTAGAGCTTCTGCGTGAAGCTTCTGCGCAAGGCCGGTCTTGCTTGGAAGTTTTTTTGGTGATGCTTGGAGGGTTTTAGTCACAGGGTTGAGCGGAGGCCCCTGTCAACCCTGAACTCTCTACTTCAAGGATCATGGGACTTAGTAACTAGGGTTGTAATTATAGGGTAACTATACTTATAACGCCAATTCAGGGGCTTATAACCTTACTTACTAAATCCCATGATCCTCCAAGTATGTCAGACTGCTGGACCCTCGTGGTTGTACCGATGGAGAAGGGTATCCCCGCTGTAGGAAGAGGTGATGGCGAACGGATTTCAAAGAGTTTGCAGTCCTGTAGCTATGCCAAGCCTCAGCAGTTCCAGTTTCAAGCCAACGAATCCCAAGCCCAGATGGCTTTGAAGCTGTCACCCTTTGCTGCCGGCTCGTCGGCGCAGCTGCTCCGTTTGGTCTTCCTTGCTTCCCTGGCACTCTCTTTGGAAAGATGCCTTTGCTGGGAGAACTCCATGATGAGCATGATACCAAGGGCTCGGGCGCAGACGCTGTGTAGGGTCCTTGGTGGGATCGAGGGGAAGCAGTTCGAGAACGAAGGCTGCCTCCAGGCTTCAGACCAGCAACTGGGTACTGTGGTTCTCTAAATTAAGGTCCCGCTTAGGCTCCTTAATGCAAGGCGTCCTTTTGGGTTCCAAAACAGACCCTAATTTGAAAGAACTGTCGATGTGTCTTTCTGTTTGCACACAGTCTTACTGTCGTCATGCCACTTCTTCGACGTACCGTGCATGCTCCAGAGGTATGCTGCAAGAACTCAAGAACTTGGCCTCCGAGCAAGAAGCTCTTGCCCATGAGTCCGGCCAAAGCCTCGACCGAAAGCTCCAGCATTTGGAGACATCACTGGAGTTCATCCGCTATGCCGAGAAGCACGGAGCCGACATAAACGTCAAAGGTAAAGCCTATGCCCGAGTAAGCAAAGGTGGTGTGTGGTGGGCGCTTCGTACCAACAGGCAGGCATTCCGGAAGAAGGAAGTGAAACACATCATCATCACTGCTTTCAAGGCCATGGGCATAGCCTTCGGCAAGAAATCGTGACGTGAGCAAATGTGACTTTGCTTCAGCGTGATGCTGGTCAGCCAGTCAGGAGATTCACTTTTTACCAGGCAGTCGTAGCATCATAGAAGCAGCTTCCGACACTATCGTTCGAGGCTCCAATGGATGTCGGCTTGTTGTTCTAGTGCTGAAAGTCGCCATGCGCCGAGTACGACAGGCTGAATGAATTAAAGCAGGTATGTCACAAGACTCGCCAACAGTGCGTGTGAAGTAGACCCGTCAAGCTTCCGACCAGGGAAGAAGCCGCACCGTTTCTCAAGAGTGCACGGCTTTGTCGCAGCACCTGGGAGACCGAGTGCGAGTTCTTCCCTGACGGAATGTGCTTTGTGCGGGCGAAAACAAGCTTGTGACACTTCTTGTGCGCTTCTTCTTCTTCAGATGGCTTTGAGCCTGCTTGGGTTTCACTTTTTTCATTGGGATCGATGTTTGTTGTGAGTCCCTTCTAGAGTAGAGGTTGCGTACCAGTGTGTGCAACCGTTTTGAGTTCATAACCCTGACTGGTGATAATCTGTTGTTAGACGACCACAGCTACGAGGACGAGACCAGAAACTGCAAAAAAGCTGTCAAAGCTGCGGTTTGTGATCGGGCCTTACCATGGCAACCACTCTTTCAACTTAATGTGTTTTTCTCAGCGGATGGCTGGACCATGAGAGTTTCGCAACTTAGACCGTGCTCGACCCAAGACAAGTACTGAACAGACATGACAGACTTAAGCGATTTTCTGCAGCGCTCTCAGTGTCGAGACTTGTATAAAGCTAAACCAGAAGTTCTGCAAACCCTATGAACGCTCAGCAAGAAGACTTCTGGGCCAAACCCCCTCCGGTTTCCGCAGGGCTACAGCCGAACCTGAAGACCCAGAATGCCCTGCTGGCCACTCGTCTGCAATCCAGCCTTCAAAGTAGCACGTAGGCCTCTTAGCATCCTTTTGCTCATGCAAGCCTGCATGGATGGACGGATGGACGGATGGACGGACAAGAGTGTGTACACGAGTATGAACTGCATTTCGAAAAGACGAATCTAAACGTGGATGCACATACCAAATTTAGGTATACATGCAAATGAGCATGTAAACATGACTGCTGTTATAAACGCAGGCACAACCCTAAGTGCAACTGTAAATACGAATGCTTGTATATAACTGTAAATCTAAATGTCAGCGTGAATGTAGATACGGATGTAGACAAGAATGCAAGCAATAATAGGCATGCGCATGCCCACATCTTTATATGTACTTATACATTTGCATATGTATGCTACTCAGCACAAGTCTAAATACGAAGATATTGGTAAGCTAGCCGCAAACACAAATACAATACAGTACGATATAGAGATACCACGAACTTGTAAATAGCAGTGTAAAATTCATAGATACGATATATATATATATATATATATATATATAAGGTGTATAGATATAATATAATATAATATGATATAATATGATATAATATGATATAATATAATATAATATTTTATATAATATAATATAACATATATATATATATATACAGATAGATATATAGATATAGGTACCTATATGGGTATAGAGGTAGGTATAGATACAGGTATAGGTATTCGTACAGGTGCGTAAGCATAGATATCTAGGTATAGCTAACAGGTATAGGTACAAGCATAGGTTCAACTATCGTTATAGATACAGAGACAGATGCAGACATGGAGATGGATATAAACATATAGGCAGATACTGGTAGAAATACAGACATAGCTATAGACATCGATTTAGATGTACATGTAGATGTAGGTATTGCGTAGATGCAGATGAATATGTACATATAGACACAGTTCGGATATATGAGATATATGCATTTGTAAACACGATACAAATGCAAGTATGAGTAACATGTAAATGTTTAGGTAAACACATGTGTCAACATGGCAGATAAGCGGTGTTCAGTTTCGAACATCATGAACAGCATTGGTTCAGGCTTTGGAATGGTTTTCGTCTGGGCGCAAGGGCACTGTTGCGACAACTACTTGGAGCCTCAATTGAGGCGCGTGCAGCCTTACATACAAACTTCTGTGAGTATGCCAACTTCCCGGTCTTACTAGTTCCTACTAAGTAATGCGGGAATAGAGTTGCAACCGCAACTCCTCTAGGGCAGCATAGTAATTAACTGTAATTTGTACTGCAATTTATTATGCACCGGAAAATCTTCTGTCCCTAAGCTGCAAGCCAGTCAGTCTTGACATGGTGAAGTCTTGTAACAAGGCGCTTGGGCTTCGACGGCCGGGCATGCCGACGTCGAACATTATTAATTAAGCACCGCCACCGCAGAAACCTGCTGCGACATTCGGGACAGGTACAGTCAGTAAGTAGGGCCAAGGAGTGTCGATGTCCCCTGATTTGACTGCACTCCACTCCTTTGTAACCGAGGCTTGTTGCACTGAAGCGGGCCAGTGGCAGTCCCTGGGCGTGACATGAGTTCTGCTGGGTTTGTAAGTTTCCAAGGAGCCAATTTATCAGCTTGTTCCTCAGACTATGTGGCACACCCTATGGGGTTCCAACGTCACCTAAGTGCAAAGAGAGTTGGTTAACGCAGCCGCGCGGTGTGGACGCCGGGAGCTTCCCGGGACGCAGTTCTTGCTATGGCGCATCACATATTCGGCGGTGATGTCTTATGCTTTACACGAAATTCCTTTATCCAAATCGGACTCCCTACCCTATGCTGCATGCAGGGGAACAAAGAAACCCATACTCCAAAACGCCTCAGGTCAAAGCCTCCTAATAAGTATACTTAAAGCAGTTGACAAGCCCAATAGGGTATTCCTGTTCCAGCTTCAGTGTAAACCCCCGATTCATGAACCCACCTTTTCTGTTAAAGGCTCGAAGATGAAGATCCCCTTTCAATTCCTTCTGAGGGTTGAAACATCAGTGGTCTACATTGTTTCAGAGTTCCTCCCTTTGGAGGGTTTCTTTTTCGGGTTCCTTCAGGGTTCTTTTAACTTAGTAGCCGAGTGGATACACTTCACACTTTTTGGGATCGTATTACCCACTATAAAACTGAAAGTGTACACTTTGGGGGCTTATGAACTCGCAACTATGGGTCCTGTTAACTGCTTGGGAGTCGCCCACCACAGTTTGCGCTTTCTGGGTTTAGGGTTTTGGGATGTTTTGGGTCTGGAGATTAGTGAACAGGCTTTAGGGTACTTGAAACGGGTCCATAGAGGCTATGATCACAGGATATATCGGACCTTCAGAATTACCTATACTATTTTGGGGGTTTGGGTTTTGGGGTTTATGGGGCCTAGGGTTTAAAAGGAAACCCTACACCCCAGAGCGCCAAGCCTCAAAGCCCAAAGCACCGGTGGCGCCGAGGTTCAGCCTCGCTACGCTGGAGGCCGACTCAGCATGCGCTCGCATCGGTTTCGGGCCCTCGCGTCTGCCCATAGGCCCCATAGTAGTTCCTTTTTGGGATTACCTTATAGGATTCTAAAAATGAACCCCAAAAAGGAACTACTATGGGTAAATGGGTCTAGGGTTAGGGTCTGGGACTTTGGGGCTTAGCGGTTTTAGGAGTTGAGCCCTAAACTTTCAACATCTCTTTCAACCCCCAGAAACCCTACGAAGCCTTATAAACACGTGTAATAAAACAAAAAAGCGTTGCAAAGCCGTGTACAAGTCCTACCAAAGCCCGAAAAGAACGTTTAAACCACACCGCCAAGTCGCTGAAGGAGAATCCATCCCTGGGGCATCGATCAACCCCTCAGTCTTTCAACATAGCCGGGGCCTCGGGCGCACGGCAGATTGAGGGTTTACGGGTTGGGGGTTGGGGGTGTCAGAGTTTGAGGCTTTCGGGGCTTCGGGTCCACATGAAGTCACTATCTGGCTTGGGCTCTTAGGATGGAGACGTCGAGGTTTGGGTTTTGGGTTGTTAGGCTTCAGGGTGCCAGGGTGCTAGGGTTCTGTAAGTGCTTTAGGGCTTGGCCACCCCTACACCTTGAAGTCGAAGCCGAGGTGACACTACTTCCCTGAAGCCCTAAACCCAACTTGGAGGATCATGGGACTTAGTATGTCAGGTTATAAGTACCTTAACTGGGGATATTACCCTCGTTATAACCTTAGTTGCTAAGTCCCATGATCCTTTAAGTAAACCACCAAAGCTCAAGGTGCTAGATGCACTACATCGATCAGGCCGGACACAAACGGCGGGAGTTTTGGGTAACAAAGGGGCCCCCAAAAATGCCAGTGCTAGCTAGGGTTCCCTTTTGTATGTAGTGTAATATGCCCCGAAGCCCTAGTCTAATTGTTAATATCTTTAGTCCCTGTATTACATGGTTCGGTATCTTGAGATTCGCGGTCTCAAGCCTCTTGATTTGTGTCCATGTACGAGCGAGTCTTGATATACGTTTTCTGGGTCACACACGCGGACGCCTTTGAATAGCAACTAAAGAAGCTATTGAAGCTCGACAAATGCCCAACACCTGTTGACGTCTGCTTTCAGAAAAGCAAGTGGGTTTAAAGATCCAGGACAAGGGCTCTTGGCTTCAAAACCGTGTTCCTTGCCGATAGTTCGTTTCACGGTGTAGAGTGTAGGGTTGGCTTCGTACGGCTTCGTGTCCAGAACCTAAGGTTGAGCCGCCCTGTTTATACTGCGTGATGTATGCAGAAGGTTTTATGCCTTTACAAAAGCCCTTGCTGCCAGTTTTGTAAAGTCCGATAGGTTTCGGAGAAATCCTGGAAACGCCGGTTAAGAAGACACTGGCCTCAATATAGGACGCTATAATATATTGTAAAGATTTTAAGGAATCCTGTGTTTCAGAATTCAGGGCTACTGGGCCCTTTGGTCACCCCATTTAAGCAGGCTCCAAGTGGCCTCACTGCCTGCACCTCTTCGAGGCAAGGCTAACTGGGGCTATAAGACTGAACTCAAAGCCGTCTAGCGGTTAAGATGGGCTCTTGAGGTTGAGTTCGGTGGGAGTTTTGGTAAAGGAGAATCAGGTGAGTTCTTGAAATATCATTA